TTCTTTGCGTTTTTTCAGTTGTTACCATAAAAGGAAATTTTCAAAAAATTGGAATTTTCAGGAAAGAGTTTTTTTTTGTTTATGTATCAAAAGATTCATCTTAAGATTCATCATTTTATTAAGTTATTAAAAGAAGTTATATTTATATATTTTTATATATAGGACTATTGTATAATTATTATAGCTATTCTAGTATTATATTATGTATAAATTGCTCCATGGTCAGCTAATTTTATATTACCTCAGCTTTAGTTTTTTATCCTTTTGACATTAATGAATTGTTTACACATTCTTTTATTCATATAGAGTATGGTGATAGTCAGCAATTGATTGTTTCATGTAAACTTTGGTCATGTCACAATCTTCAGTCATGTGACTATAGTAAAAATCCTGAACTTGGTCTAACTTCTTTGACCTTTAACAATATAGTAATTCATTTTAATACAAACTAGTAGATAGTGGAGCTTCTTATATAATTGTTGGGATGATATAATCATCCATGTTCTTCTATTTAATATGATAATTTTTCTTGATTTTTAGGTATTCCTTATATTTCTTTTATTATTATGTCAAGAGAAACCAGAGCTGCTAAGGCATAAAGATTCACTTGCTCAGGAAGGATGAATTCTTTATGGGCAACTATCATCACTCTCCAGAAAAGAATCAAGTATTTTAAGAAACAAATACATTATAGTAAGTGGTTCCAGATTATCTTCAAGAAGAAATTCATTAGTTGAAGGAGAAGGTAAAGTAGTTGATCTTCAGAAGTTTCACTTCAACTAGTGTCAGAGAGTTGGAGTTGGAAAATCAGAACTTACAGCAGAGGGTGGCCAGGCTTTATGTACTGTTGATCCAATTGGGTGTTTCTATTTCTGCTCCTTTGGATAGAATCTTTTTCTTACTTGAGCTTTGAGATTTTTATTTTCCTTTTTCATATTTTCACTTGTTCACTTATAAGTACTTTATCTTGTGATTATGCAGTAATTGCTGAGAACCCTGGAGTTGGCTATAATAGTGATAAGAGCTCAGGAGCCATTATTATTATACTGTATATTCCTCCTTTTAGTTTTCAATATATACAGTAGGTTCATATTTTTCATGGTCAAGATATGGTTTTAGCAAGACCAAGTTGAAAGAGGCAGCCAGAACTTTTTTATCTATAGTCCTAAGTTTAAAGGCTCCATTTCCCAAGTTATCGTGGATAAAGTAAGGTCTTTTCTATTTTGGTTTGAGTTTCTCAGTAAAGTGTTTGTTCCTGGCAGTATCATGGACTAACACTTTATCCCCAATTTTAAAGTTCCTAGGCTTTTTCAACTTCAGATCAAATCTTTTCTTTTGTTTCCTTTGGGCTTTTTGAATATTTCCTTGGGCAGTTATTTGAGCAATAGACAGGATTTCAGTCAGTTGGTAGAGTCAGGTTAAGATATTTCTTTCTATTACTTCATCCATTTCCATGTGGGGCATTTGAGGATTGCGGCCATAAATCAGATAGAAAGCAAATAACAAAAACATAGAAATTTGCAGTTGGTTCTTGAAGAAACCGAATTTATTAGAGTTTATAAATATATAATTCCAATTTTTTTAACTTGATTTCTCAATCTTTATACTTTAAGCATACTGTAAAAAAACATATTTAAGAAATGAAGCCAAATTTTAAGAACTAAAATAACATCTTAAAAAGTTTTTATATTATTTTTCTGTAGTAAACTTTTAGCCTTCCTTTTAAATTCGCTTTTTTTTTTTTTTTTTTTTTTTACATCTTTTTTATACTTTTATTTTGCAATTTATCTATTTTATAGCTTTACTAAAGCGAGATCTAGAACGACCGTCTCGAAGTTATGATTAATTATTCCTGCCTATCAGACGTATGCTGAGCTAGATAATCTAGACGAGTTTGCACGTACGCTTGATCACATATTTCGCGCTTTGATATGCCCATTCTAATAATAGAAATTATATGTTGTTAACTAATTAATTAACAGTGACTTTTTTGAAAGCATTCTAAAAATTCCAGTGTTTTATATATGGGTTAATGAAAATACGGAGTGATACCCTAATTGCCATAATTGATCATAACTGTACCTGTAAGCTAAAATTTAGGGTCATAAGTTTTCTAACCCGAAAATTAGAGTTCAAGCACCAAATCCTATAGAATTGCTAGTGAAATTTGCGAATATAACGGGAATGTTGGATTTATCGTAAGTTTGGAGAATATAAGGAAGAGTAATAATATACAGTATGAAGTATAATATTTTATATAATAGTAATGCTAATAATAAAATAATATTATTGATATAATTGAAATCATAAAGAAATCATCCTACTTTGTTTCGGAGAGATATATTTATACGTAATGGACAAAAATTATTGGTATTCTGACTAGATAATACTGTTTTTTATAGACGAAAACACCTTTAACATAGACTGAACTACAGAAGAATGACAGCTTCCTCATAGAAAAAACATTCCGTGGTATTGGGATTCATTAATAATGAATTTACATTATGAAGTTTTTTTTTCTGTAAACTAATTTCTCCGGCAAGAAATTGATTTAAATTTGTAATTACCAATTATTTTATTTGGGAGCTTTGTTTTTAAACCTTTTTTTTTTTTTTTGCTAAAGCAATAATTATTGGGTCTTGTAAGAAAACAAGGACCTAACTTTCAATTCAGCAAAGAAGACAAAATCAAAACTCTCTCCTATGTTGCTGGACCGGCGATCTTTTGAAAATGACAAAGTGTACACCTGAAAACCTAGATGATTAAAATGTTAAAAAACCTAACCTTATCCGTCAATATTGCCAAGAATTACGTATTGCCAAGGATATTGCCAAGGAATTACTGTAGTTGACTGTACAACACAGATTTCACTAAAAAGAATTTTCATTTTTTGTGTCACAGTGTCTACAAATAGGGTCGAGATCCACGGGTGCGTATTGAGTGGGTGACCAACGATTGTTTCACTAATACGCTAATACCATATACGTACTGTACGTATAGCGTATAATTATTGTGAATTCCCAAAGCGTATTCGCGATTAGTGAGATTATAACGGTTAAACAACGTCTACAGGCGTTTTTACCGTAATCATAAAATCGCAAAAATAAGGTTTATTAGACTTCGAGAACTAAGACTTTTTAAGTCATATCGACAAACACTTTTCTAATTATAACCTTTATCTATGGATATTTTGGTTTAAACCGTGCAAGAGAGCTTCTGTGAAACATTTTACGCTGATTTAGGTTTAACTGTAATGTTTATGGTTGTTTGAAACAAAAGCACCTGAATTTAGGTGCCATGAAACATGGTAAGGAGTACTTGCACATATAATCATAGATATTATTAACTAAACGAAATAACTGGAAATCAAATACCGAATTAAATGCAAACTATTATTTTTAGATGGCGACAAAAAGAAATAAAATAAAATAATGAAGTAAAGAACGTTACCAAATTTATTTTTACCTTTGTAAGAAAACGAAAAGATCATAAATGATTGTTTTTAGCAAATAATAAATAAAATATAACGTGGGGGCAAATGATGTAGCCATATTTATCTTACCCGATAGAAGTTATCGAAAAGATTAAGGAAATAATAATTTAATTGCCATCCATCGGTCGATTAATGAACGGATCGAGGCGCACGTAGATCAATTCTGAAATGGATAATTCCAATTTAGAACGTTTTCATCAAATTATTTGTACAGTATTTGGTATTGCATCTAAAATATTACTATAATAACACCTGAATGCTTAATAATAGACGGTATAAAGAAGACAAAAAAAAAAAAGAGGCGAGTAATACGATCCTTGAAATTTTGAATTGAATTCTACAGGTGGCATAATTTGCGTAACGTTGAACGAGTAAAATTTAAAATAATCTAAATAGATGTATCGAGACGAGAACGCTATAAAAAGACGCGCATCCTCTTTCAATTTTTCCTCCCAGTTGCATTCGGCGATATCTGGTTTTATTATTACGCGAAAAATCTATCCAATATTTTTTTTTCTTTTAGAAACAAAAAAAAATGTTGGGGTTTAAAGCTGTAGTTATATTTCTTGGTTTATTACAATGTAGCCTTTTGGGATTCTCGGCACCCTTATCGAAGTGGGATGAATCTTCTATCAATACCGACTACTTTAAGGCTTTTACAGCTTTACCCCCATCCCAAAACACAACTCGTTATTACACTTTCGAACTAAAGATGGTTGATTTGGCTCCTGACGGTTTCACTCGCCAAGTGTGGACTGTGAATGGACAGTGAGTATCGTTCCTCTCATCAATTGAATGATTATTATGAATAAATGTATAAAAAATTCCTGTTGTTGTATTATTCATTTCACCTGCTTTTGTTGAAAGGTATCCTGGTCCAATTATTCGCGCGAATAAAGGTGATACATTTAACATAACGGTGATCAACAATTTCGATGCTCCTTCTTCAAGTACGTATGTACCCGCACGTGATGATGTTTCATGTGACGTATCAAAAGTTAATTTCTTTGTTATAAAATTTAGTTCACTGGCACGGAATCTTTCAACAAGGTAGCAATTGGTTTGATGGCGTTCCAGGTACCACACAATGCCCAATCCCACAGGGGATTACCTTTTCATATGTCTTTACAGTCCAGCAGTCTGGAACTTACTGGTACCACTCGCACCTCTTTGCTCAACTTGTTGACGGCTTAAGGGTAGGCGAAGTCGAAATCACATAATTAAATATTCTTTATTAAATAAAAAATGTAATACCCTAAACTTTTTTTTAATGTAACCAGGGACCCATCGTTATCCACGATCCTGATGACCCAAATAATGATCTATTCGATTATGAATATGTGATGACAGTGTCCGATTGGTATCACATTCCTACCGGAGATCCCAGCATGCTTCCCACACTTTTTAGCGGTATGATTTCATGATACGAAATATAGTTTATACAATATACCGTATGATAGAAAATTTATCTCTCTCAATCAACAGCAAACTATCAAGGGATTGATCCAATACCCGATTCCGCAGAAATTAGTGGCGTGGGACAGTATAATTGCTCAATTCCGACGTGTGTTCCTTCTAAATTCGCTACCTACAGTGTTACGAAAGGAAAGAGATATAGATTTAGAATAATTAATATTAGTGCAATGTCTCATTTTTGGATTTCTATTGACGAACATCCGCTCACGGTCATTGAAGTCGACGGAACGCCAATTCATCCGGTCAAAGTCGAAATGCTTCCGATAAATTCCGCCCAGAGATACTCGGTAGTTGTGACAGCAAATAATGCGGTTGGAAATTATTGGATCAGAGCCCAACTTTCAGGATGTAGCCTTCCTGACAACAATTTCACAATCAATTTTAATTCACCTATATTTGAGAATGGGAATATCACTGGTATCCTTCGTTATGAAGGTGCTCCTCCTACTAATCCCACTTCCGTGGGATACTCTACAAGTGTTATCAATTGCTACGATTTGGACTCTAGTCTCATGAAACCTTATCCGCAAAATCCACCGGTGCCACCAAAAGATGCTAATGTTACGAGATTAAATTTCAACGTCGCCATCAAACAGAATCCAGAACACATCCTTGAAGCTACAATGAATAATTCATCCTTTGTATCGGATCTGTCTTATCCTACCAATCAAAGAGTAATTGATGGTGTCGGTTTTATTTCTTCTGATAATGCTTATCCTTATTATGTCTTGAACGGTGCCGTGGAAATTGTTATTAATAATACCGAACCTCGAACACATCCTTTCCATATGGTAGGATTCAATTATAAATTATGAAAACCGACTTGACCTGTGACCCTCTTTGACATTTATTTTATCTTGAAATAGCATGGTCACGAGTTCTGGGTCATTGCTCAGGGCGATAATAACAGTTACAATAAACCCCTTGATACCTTGACGTACAACTACGACAATCCTCCCCTTCGTGATACGGCAACCGTCAAAGAGCGAGGGTAATTATTTGCTTTTGCATTATAAACTATCCCCCTCAATCACGCAAACATGCTAACCAACGAATCTCCAATCAAAAAAAGTTTAATGATAATTAGGTACTACGCAAATAACCCAGGTGTTTGGCTATTCCATTGCCACATTGAGTGGCATATTGAATTAGGAATGGTTGTTCAGCTGGTAGAGTTACCCGAAATATTTGCAAATAATACCATTCCCGAGAGTGTTCTTGCACTCTGCAATAGTATATCATAGATTATGTGGGGTATCAAATCGTATTTACAATCCTCAAAATTAGATACATTCCCTCTCGATTACTTTAGATAATATTGTGTTTTTATTATTTTGTATTTTTATAGCGCTATTCGTCATTCATCAATTAATGCATCTATCTTAAACCGTGAGATTTAAAAATACAGTATATATGCTATCAATTATATTTGCTAAGATTGCTAAGTTTGCTAAGAACATTACTAATTATGGAAACTCTGTTAGTATCACTAATTCATACTAATAATAGAATAATTATAATGTTTGTAGAACTGTTTATATTGCGTGTCTCCGGGACTACGGGATCGGAGCTCATGTCACGTGACACGTGACTCAGGAAAAGGATCTTCATTAGCATTTCACGGCCGGAGGTCAATATCGATGTTTAACGAGAAATTCAAGTTGAAAATCGTTTTGGAGCTGATAAGAAAAGATGTTTTTCGGATCAAAATATCTATAGTTTATTATTCACATTTTGGAGATCGACATGTGACTTTTGGGAGGAAAATCGTATTTTTTTCAGACGGATATATAAGATCTACAATGTGTTATATTTGGCCTGCCCCTTCTTGTGCTTGAGTTTTTTCCCTATATTTTAACTTTTCTCCCAGTCAATTATAATGTCCCATCTGAGTTTCCATGCTTTCTGCTTAGTCTGCCAGAATATGTGTATTGCTTCTCTGATTGCATCTAGTGCTTTGATTCTGTCTTTTTATAAATTCTGCTACTTGAATCATGCCATATGTTATGACTCCCTTGATAATGTCCTTCCATTTGACTTGGTGCCATGCTTTGATGTTTTCATTATACTCCTGCATTATTAGTGTTCTTTTTCATTTGTTTTAGATCAGTTCTGTCTATTTGCCTTCTGCTCTTTCTATACTTTCCTCTATCAGGGCTTGGATAAAATCTTCCTGAAGTCTTGTTTATATTGTGCCGTATTGAAAAATATGGTTATTTGTTTCTCTGTACTATTTGCAAATTTTGTATTTATCATTTGAATAGATATTGGGACATCTTTTATTTAGTTTGTCCATGGTAGGTAGTTCTCCTATCCATGTTTTAATTCTGAAGGAGTGATCTAGTAATCTTTCCTGTTAGTTGTTATTGCTATGATTTTGATTAGCATTAGAAGCTCAAGTGTTAAGAGCCAGTGGATCTCTCTAGATTTCTTCTGGTTCAGCCAGTCCTGATTCTTATGTAATGTTCACCATTTGCTTGCCCACTTGTTCCTAAGAATCTAACTTGCTAGGAGCTTGATTGCAATATCATATTGCTTTTGATCCCATCAGTGAGAATATTTATTGTAGTGGCCTTCTGTAAATTGACTGTTATGGTGTACTTGGATTTGTCTGTGATGCTTTTAGCTAACAGTCATTCTGCCTTTTTATTTCCTGGGATGCCTAAGTAACTTTTAACTTTTACCCAGTTGACTGTCAGTTTTTTGTTTGAATCAGTTCTATAATAGTGCTGCTGAGAAATTGGTTTGGTTGATTTGTCTTTCTTTGATGTCTCTTCTGGGTTGTGGGCTCTCTTAACATGTTGATTGCTATCTGACTGTCTATGAGGATGCTAATAGTTTTGTTTGAGCTGATAGTACTTACTACTGTCAGGATGGCTATTAGTTCTACTCTTATATATGAGGGGGTACCATATGTTTCTACTTGGAATTCTGCTACTTGTTCTTCTTCTATGGTTATAATCCAGCCTAGTTCCATTCTACTTCTTTCTGATTGTCTAGTAAAGGAGTTATCCATATAAATCCTTAGGTTATTGAGTTTGCTTAGCTCTTTTACTATGGCTAAGAGCTGATCAGTGAGGTTTTGATGTCTTATTAGTCTACTGTATATTATATAAGTCATTTCTGAAAGTGGATCCATATGGATCTGTAATGGCATCCAGATAGTTGTTGGTGCTGTTTCCCTTTCTTGCAAAGCTTTCTTGATTCCTTTTGGAATAGAGTGCAACCTATTCAGTGTGCCTTGTTGTTCCATTGGTTGTTTTTGGTTTTGTTCTTTGTATTGATTCCTTAGTTGTTGATTGTTTCTTGGATATCCTTTACATTTAAAAAGAGATGATGTTGATAGGAGCAATATCATATAGTTGTCTATTATCCTGTCTGAGTCTACTGTTCTTCTTTTCCTATATATTGCTATTTTGCCATCTAATTCTGTAGCTATCCATTTAATTGTTGTTTGTGACTGAGCTGAAATCACTGAGGTGTTGTTACAAAAATTGTTGTTTGTGTTGTTTGATGAAGAGTCTACTATATTTGTATATGAGTTCAAATTTGATCTATATAAATAATCTATTGTAGATCTTGAAATTATTTTGGAGTCATTCTCTGTCTACCTTTATTTGTTCTAAGTTGCTGCTATGTAAGGATCTTGATAGATCATCATTCATGAGCTGTTCCTTAAAAAGGTTATCTCTTTTCCTTAGGGCTAGTTTGTTTTGATCATACCATTCTTCTGAGACAATGTCTTTATTGGCTGTTTTCCCTTTTTGAGATGGTGCATAGTGTTTCACAGTCTGTTGTTTTGAATATAATGCCTTAACCTTAAGCCTATTGAGGATATCATTCGTGAGGTTCTGTCATTTTTTTGTCCAAAAGATGTATTTGTCTTCTAGGATGAATATACTTAATCAGTACTGGTTTTGAAGTTGTTGTAGTCTGATCCATGCAGTTTTACTATATGTGTCAGATCCATTGATTCTTTGAACCAGTTATTTCCATATAGCAAGATCTGTCAGTTCCACATATTAAAAAGTCTATATCTAAAATCAATGTGAATAATAGTGTTGGGGGCTATCCTGGGAAAGTTGATCTTGTGTTTAAAAATCTTAATTATTTTGCTATTAAATTAGTCATATTCTTGTTCGGATAGATCCATGTCATTTAGAAGGTATTTCACTGCTGAATATAAGACCTGGTTTATTATGTAGCATGTCTACTTATCTGTAATTTTCTTCCATTTGATGTGATTAATTGTATTATCAATCTTTTCCTGGATGAACTGCTTTTGGTATTGTTTTTTCTCATCTTCTGAAATCTATACTCCTAGAATATGTGTTATTTCATTTTTCTTTAGGGGTATAACCTTAATTCTTGCCATTGTGACTCCTTGTGTCCAGTCTTTCTTGTTTACATTAATACATACCAGTGATGATTTGTCTCCATTCACTTATATGATATTAATATATAGAAACTCAGATACTGTGTTAAGAATACTTTGTATGTTTGATCTGTTTGGAGTATACCAGGTTGTATCATTCATGTATGCTATTGCTGAGACCATTTTTGATCTGATGTGTTAGGGTATCCTGAAGTTATTGTCTGTTATAAGATTAGTGCTTCATGTCACTCCATTTTATATCCCATTTTTTGTCATCTATTTTCTATATTAGAGATCATAGAAGATTTACTACAACAGTGGAGATACAGTATAATATCTTCTTGATCAATCTCATCCCAGACTTTGTATTTCTTTGTGTATCCATGGGCTGTAATGATTCTATTGTGCCTATCTATTAAGGTGTCCTCTATTATGTTTATGATTTCTTCTAGAAGCTTGATACACTTTAGTACCAGTATCATAATATCTTTATTTATAGAATCGTATGCCTTGCTTATATCTTGGCTGAATATTCATATTTCTTTTCCTATTTCTCTAGCTTCTTCTGAGAGGTTGTTTATTATATGTATTGGCTGCTGTGTATTACTGCTTAGAAGTTCTATCCAGTTACTTTTCGATATGATATGGTGTTGGTTCAATGTCATTGCTATTCTATTTTTAAGAATGGATATAAAGACTTTCCTTGTTGTTTTCAGGAGAGTGATTGGTCGTATGATGTTGATATTTCCCATCCAGTCTTTCGATTTTGGGATAGGATAGATTTCTCCTTGTTTCTATTCCTTGGGTCCTTTTCTATTTCTAAAGTTTGGTTGTACATTCTTTCTAAAAGTTAAGTTTCCTTGGTACGCGGGTTTCTTAACAGGATATAGGGCATTTTGGTGAGTACTGGTACACTACACTTGTTTTTGGCCTTAATTACTTCTATAATTTCTTGTGTCTCAATCTTGTTTGTACACTGGTTGAACCAGTTCGGATTGATATGTTCGATTGATATATATCTATTGATCCAGTTTGGATAGCTTTACAAGTCTACAGTTTTCCAGTGTCGTGTCCATTCCTCAAAATTATTCCTGACTTTAGTCTTGATTTCATCTGGATCTGTAATAATTATAGTTTCATTTGCTGTATTCTGTTCTACTAGTCTGCTTGTATCTATTTTCTTGTGTAGCCTTTTCAGTATGTTATCTATCATTCTCTTTGATTGTTCTTGTAGAAGTTTGAAATGCTTCTCAATTTATTATTAATTATTTTGATTTTTTTCCTTCTGATTTCTTGTTGTACCATCCTGTTTTCTATCTTTCAGAGCTCTTGTAGTTTCTTTAGCCACTAATACTGCTGTATGCCTCTATTAGAGTTGTCGTGTTAGTTAATTGATGGGCTGTCGATTCTTCATTCCTTTTTGTTGATAGTTTTTACCATTCCTACTATCTTTTTTCTATTTCACTATCTGGTGTTTTGTTGTTTAAATATCTTTTGTATATTCTATATGTTTTACCTATTAAGAGTAGAAGTTTCATAATATCCGTATACTTGGACTCATAAATGGTCTTGATGTTCCTACTCTTTCTTTATTTTTTGAGATATTTCTTGCTAGCCTTT